GACAAAAAGTATATCATTCGACGCGCCTGAGCGAGACGAACACGATGCTGCCAAAATCGGCGCTCTGCGGCCGTTTTTTGCGAAGTTATTCACCAAAAACTGAACCGTACCTTGGGGCACTTGACCTGACCTCAGAGGTCACCGGTTGACCTAGGACCTTAAAATCGGATACCAATCTCTGCGTCTCGTAACGGCGCACACGCTCGTTTTTTCCGCGACGCGCTAGCTCTACCAGGGGCGAAACGGCGAGGGGGGGGGTCGTACCCACCCCCCCCCCCTCGGCCGGCGCGTATGTAGAAAACCAATACCTAGGTCCGGCGAGGGTTAAATTTGGTTTCCTTCAACAAATTTGACAGGGCTATCGAACGCCGTTTAAATTTTCCGGATTCGTCCAGTAGTTTCGGAGATACGGGGGGGGAGATGCCCCCCCCCCCACCGCGCGGAAGGTGGCCGGGAGGCCCACCGCCTGCCGGGCTAAGATTTTAAGGGTTGAAGATGCAATCGATTTATTCGCACACATGCCTATACCATTGCTCTAATATGGCTTCATCGTATATCGATTAGTTTCTGAGATATAGCTGGAATTGTAAAAAGGCAAAGCCTACCGCTCAAGTCCGCAGGAGCCGTACATCATGCAATTTGTATAGTTACGGTAATCATTCTTGATCCATATACCTACAATGAAATGCATTTTGGTTCATGTTGAAAATTTGGTGCATTGGCATTACTATGTTCCATTTTGTCGGTGGTTCCACGAATGTCACGCAGAGTGAGTGATTCTTGACATAGCTTGGTGAAAAAAAAAAAAACGCTGATACAGCGTTCGAGGAGGGAGCCAACAGCGCCAGCAAGAAGCCTACTTGTACACCAGAGCGCTTCTGTCGGACATGTTTACCCCGGCTTATCACAGCTCAGTAATCATATGCTTCGCCCTTTGTTCAGTTTGTGCAGTTTTTAGGTTGACATATGTATTCGGTAGGTCTTTTTATCCCGCGCCCTGCTGGGGGGGGGGTGTTTGAACACCCCCCCCTGTGGTTTTTCGCGAATATCTCAAAAACGGCGGCGCGGAGCGCCGCCGTTTTTGGTACACCTTATCATACATCAATTCTACACATGTTGTGAAAATTTCAGACCAAGGTCATTCAAGGTCAGGTCACCAGGTCACTCGAAGTGACCTCACCTCATAAAAAGTTTCAATGTCTGTCATAGCTACACCGAGTGACCGATCGCTTTGAAACTTTCAGCGATTGCTAAGAGCATTAGCATGTACAAAATGTATATCTCAGAATTTTGATATCGATGACCTAAGGTCAGGTCAATTTTGCGACCTCACCATTATAAGTCAATGGGAGAAAATTGAAATGCGCCTGTTTTGGACGAAAGACATTATAAACACTCCCAAACACTGAATTACAAGTGGTTTAGACACACTGAACATGAAAATGGTGTCTGTGACCCCTGTTTATGCCCTGAGGTCATCTTAGGTCACGAATGGTATCTAACAGTTTTTCGCAAATAACTTTTGATAGAGGCATGCTAGAGCGATGAAAACGCCTTAGATGTGTTCAGCTCGACGATACGGATCGACTGATATGCAACATGACCCTTTCCGGTCAGGTCATGACCTTGACCTGAGGTCAAATTTTCAAGTTGACCTTTCAAGGTCAAATTATAGTTCGTTCGATGCGTCTTGACGAGAGGAACACGATGCCGGTAAAAGTAAGCTCGTACAATGCTTGGGTCAAAAGTTATTGCAGAAAAACTGTTTCCGAAAAAATCGGCTATTTTTGCAGTTTTTGCCCCCTGCAGGCAAAACCGTTGACGTTAGGTCAAATCTGAGAGAATTACTCAGAAAGGGCGTTAATAGGGCTATCGAATGCGCTTTTCCGCGGCGCTGTAGCTCTATTGGTTCCCGAGTTATGCGTTGGCTTCTTGGAAATTTTCGACATTCGACCTGGAAATCGGCGAAAATTTGCCTTCAATGACCTCTGGTGACCTGACCTTTGACCTGACCAAAAAATTGACCGAAGTGATTTCCTCATTATTTTTGACGCTCTTTCGAACGCCGCCTTCCGCGTATCGCTACGTGGCCCAGGAGCCGAGTTAGAAGGGGGGGGGGTGTTCAAACACCCCCCCCCCCCAGCAGGGCGTGGAAATCCAGGACCCCCAGCCGGGCGCGGGTTATACACGCGCCTAAGACCAATATCCAATATAAACAATAAACATTGTTTCCGGGAACTTTTTCATGAATTTAGCCCCAATATTTGAATGGGCGATTTGACAGAGCGGGAACCCACGCTACGCATATTTTGTATATATATCCTTCCAGGCGGTGGGGGGGGGGACATTTTTTGCCCCCCCTTTACTTTTTTCGATATATCTCGAGAACCGCTGCGCCGATCGTCACCAAACTTTAAGTATCCTCCCGGGAGCAGCTAGCGCACATGGTGACCAAAAATTTTTCCAAAGGCTATGATAGGTTGGCCGCTAATGACGTAAGAGTGACGTCATTTTTGCCATTTTCGACCCAAAAAAAGGTTTCGCGGGAAGAGCTGTCAGGCCTACAGCTTTAGAGATACAGAAAAATGTTTTTGACATAAAAGGTGTGGAATTAAAAGGGCTACAAAACTGCTATTTCGGTTTTTCGAATTTTTTGGATTTTGACCCCTAAAAATCAAAAAATATATTTTTTGAATATAATAGCCAAAAAATCCAAAAAGTTTTTTGAATTTCGAAAAAAACCGGAATATATGTGATAGTCCCTACTGCCTTCTATCTACATACCAAATTTGAGATCGATACCTCGTTTTTTGGCCAAGTTATAGCGAAAAAACTGTTCAAAATTGATGACGTCAAATTTTCAAACTCAATTTTTAGCAATTCTAGACCTCGTAGCGCAAAACAAAGACCGCCATTAGACTCCCCGTGACGAGCTGCATCGAATCGATGCCCATTTTATGCAAAAATATCAACTTTGAAATTTGACCTTTTTTGACCTGACCTTGACCTGACCTCCACCAGAAAGTGACCTAAACCGTACCTGATGGTCTTATAACCAACACCATTGAGTTGGAAATGAAAAACTGACCATAAAACATGCATCACATAACCTTAGTAAAGTTGGGCTTATGTGGTGACCCTTGGTGACCTTTGGTGACCTGACCTGTGACCTGACCTGGTATGACCAGTGACCTCTAATAGCAACATATGTACTAGACAACTGACGCCTTATCGCTGATTTTCGACAAAATGCGTTTTACTCGGTGTTATAGCGCTTTCCCTAGAAGCCCTGTGAACGGTGAAACCTTTTATCTTTGACCTGACCTGTGACGTCATCGGTGACCCCGAGGTCAATGAAATTTGGTTTCCCTTGACAAATTTGACAGGGCTATCGAACGCCGTTTGAATTTTCCGGATCCGTCCAGTAGTTTCGGAGATACGGGGGGGGGCAAAAAAGTGCCCCCCCCCACCGCGTGGAAGGTGGCTGGTAGGCCCACCGCCTGCCGGGATATATATATATATATATATATATATATATATATATATATATATATATATATATATATATATATATATATATATATATATATATATATATATGCGCATATATTGTATATATATATACGCACACGCATACGCTACGCTCAGGTCCTGATCTCCCATGGTCCAATCGTGTGATCATTCATAGTTTCGGGAAGATTTGGAATTCGGATGCCGTGCAAAGCAGGACTCGGTCTGTCCCACCGACCGATCAACCGTTGTTCTATATACCCTGGATCAACCGGCCGTGACTGTTCCCACCACCCGGCGCCATCCCAGTCAGGAGTCTCGTTATCGCCGGATCCTTGACCACCGGGCAACTCGAATCCGGGCGCCGACTACCGGGGGCCAACGCTCTATCAACTGAGCTACTGAACGGCAAAAAAGCCACGATAATTCTGCTCTTGTGGCCTGCTTGTGGGTGGTTCTCAAGGGTGGTTCTATTCGCCAGGACGAGCCACGAGATTTTCATGCTCACTGGCTACACCGACAGATCGACCGCTGTATAACTTTCAGCGCCAATGCCAACTACATATACGGAAAAGTAGGCGAAACCCTGACCATCGTATTTTTTGTTTAAAAATCAATAAAACATGTCCTTGTAAGTAAAATGGCATCATTTGTTCCATTGTGAAACTTGTATAACATATATTGATTTGGTTGTAGAGAAAATTAGATGCAGTGGCACCATGCGCTCCCATGGGTTCGGGATCTATAAAAAAAACTTTTCTCGATAACTATGACCATTTTGTGGACTAAATAGCTCAGAAGATCAATGCGGGCCCGTCATTTGGCTATTTAGCCGGTGGTGCCACTAGAATTTCTTTACTGGAAATGCCGGTTTCTCAGAGCGTGGTGTAGATCTGGCTGGGTTTATAGGTAGACTATAGCCACTGGCGGTTGCATTGCGGCACAGACTACCTTCTGTAGTAGACTGCCACATGCTGCAGCCCTTCTACAGTTTACCTATGCCCCCAGGATCTCCGCAGATTAGCCGCCGGTTTCTGGTCAAGTGACCTTAAGGCGAGGTCAGTAGATGGGAACGGGGCCGGGGGGGGGGGACGATGGGAAGACTGCAAGATGGGAGAGGGTTACGATCGATTTGAATTTCATTGCCGCTTGAAACATGCCTTGAAACCCACGACATTCGTAACAATACAAATATGAGTTTAATTTAGTCGTCTTCATCCTGAGCTAAAGTAAAATTTAGTACAATCGAACGGTACCTATATGGGTCTGTCCCTGGGCCTGCGCAACAAGCTCTGCTTGACATGGATCCCGTTACTCTGGGATCCCGTTCTACCTACTCGTTCATTCAACCATTCGATCTCACTTTAAAAGATATCGTTTCATGAAAAAAAGCAGTTAATTGACCCCAATACAGGTGTATCATGCAGTTTGACTCCGTCGCCTGCACAGTGCTCAGTTGGTGACAGAACCCGCGCCGTCTCTGCCCACAGGCACCATGATCCCGCGGTCGGGCGGCGACTTCGCCTACATTCACGAATCGTTCGGGCCGCTGCCGGCGTTTCTGTTCCTGTGGGTGGCGCTGCTCATCATCATGCCGACCGGTAACGCCATCCAGGCGCTCACCTTCGCGTACTACATGCTGCAGCCCTTCTACAACACCTGCCACCCGCCGGACGACGTGGTCCGGCTAGTGGCCGCCATGGTTATTTGTGAGTACCGAGTACCGACCATCCAGTCGCTTCAGAACACGCGCCGTGTTTTTTTTATTATTTTAGCACATGTTGCAATGATGGTGAGCACTAAATGATACCTCCATTATTTATTGGCAGAAGTTGTCAAAAACTAGGAATGCAGATTGCTTACTGGCTACCAAATGAGATCATTGTAGGGTGTCGGCTAGCTTAGAAAAGCGGCCGAGTTAGAAGGGGGGGGGGGGGTGTTCTGTGTTCCCAGCCAGATCTTAACCCCCCCCCCGCAGCAGGGCGTGGAAATCCAGAAACCCCCAGCGGGACGCGGGTTAAAGGGACCCTCCCACCTTAACATTAGATTTGAGTTGAGATAGCCAAAATGGGGTCCCTGGCTCACAATTACCGGTTTCGGCACTCACAACATCGAGAAATGCCTTAAATCGGAAATATTGAATTTCAAAATTGCAGCATTTTGATTCAGAGGGGCTAATGCTTAGGAATACCCCTCTGAATGTGTGACGTCAGCGCAGATATCTAACGATTTTTAAATGTTTGACTAAAACGTTTTGTAGCACGCGGTGGTATATGCTATTTGCGCGCAACATCTGCCGCAAACGCCGCACTTCTAAAATAAAGTCGCTAGAAACAGCGGAGATCCCAAAAAAGTAAACAAAAGTAAAAGTCTAATATCTTGAAAACCGGTGAATATTTTTCGGTGAAATTTGGTAGATATTCGTTTTCGCTCTTTCTGAACCGAGCGACATCACTTTCATGCCAATTCATAGACTTTTTTTGAAGGTGGGAGGGTCCCTTTAAACAGAAGTGACGATAATAACGAATTTACAATAAAAAAGCAGGAAAACAGGAGTTCGCGACAAAAAACGTAAAAACGGCGGAACAGTGGCAAAACGGCTGCGCACTGACCAGCTGGGCTGCAGGAAACAGCGCAGCTAAAATAAGAGCACTGCAGAGCTGTAGGGCACCACAGCCTCATTCCGCGCCGTGGCAGGGTAGGGAGTCGGGTACGTTTTGACGGCACCTTCGACCGGACGTTAAATTTCATGTAAATTTGCTGAAATTTTTAATGAATTTGCAGTTCCAGTTACCTTCTGACGATTACTTGCTATGTACCGCACCTACTTGACAATTGACATACAACTAAAAAAGCATATAATCTTGGAATGCCCATCTCACTCCGTTTTACAATCTATACACTTGTCAACACGTTCATTTCAACACGAACAGATACTGGCGCTCGCACGCATTCCGTTCACTGTTTATATACCCCGGGGACCTAGAGGCGTTTGTATATTTTTGAATGTTGAGTGGTGGCTTGGGTCTTATGTGAATGGGCCTCGTGTATGTTTGAGACTGTTATCGTCGTTATTGGTGGGGGTTATCAGTTCTGTTGCACCTCGGGGTGCTTGTATAGATTCCTTTGATTGTGGTCAGTTAACTCTCACACATATAGGGGATTGGTTGGACCCCTCGGTTTTTTCGCGAGTAACTCTTGAAATAAGCGTCCGATCGCAACAGAACTTACAGTACCCTCGAGCGATTCAATTTTACACAAATACCTGACCTACCTATCCTAACCATATGTAGGTTTGTGTAAGTACTTACCCTTAAAGGTAGACTGCCACCTTTTTTCCACAAAACGGTTTTCACTAGAGCTGAGCCACCTATGTCCCAGACTGAAGTCGGTTTTCCGAAATTCGAACCCGTTTGCGAGAAATCGGAGACCAAAGTTCAGTTTGATGCCATTTTTTTAGTCCAAGAAAACCGACATCTCTACTGTTTATCGATAACTTTGAAACACGAATTTTCTTATCTTTTGGTAAATATATGTCAAAACTTTGATTGTTTCGAGATCAGAGAAGAATTTTGAAGTGTCAAAATAAAAGTTAAACCTATATATTCAGTAGTTCATTTTTTCCAAAAAAGTGTGGGAAATGGGGTTTAACATGGGCGGCAGACCCATTCCAAATGAGCCATGATTTTTAAATGTTTTACGAACTTAAATGCAAAATAAATTAAACATGGCCAATTTCTTATGAAATCATATAGTAGTAAATCATAAAATACCTTACTTTTTCAAATAAAATGTAATAATCTTATGACCTTGAAGTCTAGTGATGTGTAAACATTGTCGCTAGACATTAACCGATTGATAATTGTATGATAATCAACAATTTTTTTCGCGATTCACGTGATGATACTTTGTCAGGTGAATTCTAAAATTTTGTTTTGTCCAGGGAATAAATCATAGGCCAATCTGAGAAAACTTTTTGAAGGTGGCAGTCTTCCTTTAACCCGGCAGTTGCTGGGGTATTTCGCCACCCACCGTTTGCTGGGGGGGGGGGCCTGGGGGCGTTAAACGCCCCCAGCCGATAACTCGAGAACCAATAGGCGCAGCGAAACGCACGAGGCGGCAAACGAAAGAACGCGACGAGACGCTTCAGATGAGTACTTTAAAGTTGAATTTTGAGGTCACAGGTCGGGTCAAGGTCAGGTCAAACACCTGAAATCGGGCTTTCCGTAGCATGGACTTCAGGACTTCGCAATGGGCGCCTCTCATCATAAACTCTGTCAAAACGGTGCACAATCCATCATATAAGTCCTACAAGAGTGTCAGCTCCATGTAGGGGTCAGTCAAGCATAGGTCAGGGTCAAGGTCAGGTCAACCGGGCAGGCACATATCCCCGAAAATCAAAACTGATATTCGCAGCCTGTGACACATGCTTTATGGGTAATTTGGGGCGTAGAACACGATGGTGGCATTCATTTTATCATATGTGTACGTGTTTGGCTAAAAAAGTTCAATTTAAGAAATACATGTAGAAATACATACATGGTCGTGAAGTAGTCACGAGAAATTGCCAAGATTCAGTTCAAGATTTTGGAAAATGCGGAACGATAATCAATAATCGAAGATAGCCATTTGATTGTTCATGGTATTGGCAGTCTAATGGCGTTTACGGCATGTCTGTATGTCTATTTTGTGATTTTATATGATTTTTGAACATATGCCATTTTTGTCGAAAACTCAGAAATCATGACGTCACTAAAACCTCGATATCTCAAAAATTTTCCGACCGATTTTTTTTAAACTTTGTCACAATAAACTTAAATCAATTCCCTACAGGTAGGGGAGAGTGGGGTAATTTGGCCGGTGGTGTAAATTGGCCGCCCCCACCTGTACGAAAGCTGATAAAGGTGAATGAAATAACTTTAGTCTCTATTCATTTGTCATCGGCAGAACTAACTCGAGAACAAATGTCAAAGCTTTCCCCCTCTTAGTTTTATTCAAAATTGACAAAAGGTGAATTACGTTAGAAAATGGTAACTTTTACTTCCGTTTAAGAATTTGTATAACATGTAGTATTTGGGCTGTAAACGAATTCCAACATTATAGCGCCATTTTTGAGGATGTTCAGTGGTTCCAAGAGCAATTTCATCTAGTTCTGTACAGCCATGACGACTTTATAGACAACAATTTTCAGAATGGCAACGTGGGGTTATTTGGCCGGGACTAGCGGGGCAACTTGGCCGGTGCGCTCAGAGTCACTATGCTGGGACGGCCGAGTTGTCATGGTCAATTATACCATAAAGGACATAATTCATGACCAACTTTGACTACCTTGATGCCATATTTCCTATTGGACAGCTGTAAGGGCATGTGACGTCATCAAAGGTTACCTAACGCTTTTTTTGCTAATAAAAACTTACAGAAAAAAGATACAGCCGCGCAAATGGTCTCATTGTGTTCAGCTCGTCAAGGCGCATCGAATGATATACATGATGACCTTGAACTCACGTAACCTTGAGGTCAAGCGACCTGAGGTAACGTGACCTGAAGCCAACCTTGACCTTGATCTTGACCTTGACCTTTCGAGGTCAACACATACATGTTTCGATGCGGAATGAGGAGAGAATTACGATGGTACTTTTAGTTTTGGCGTAACTTGATTACTTCAAAGGTTATTCGTAAAAAACTGTCATCGCATCTAGAGCCGCTATTTTGACTATTTTCGACCCCTGTGACGGCTGAGTCAACCTCCAAAATGCTTCAAATGCGTCGTAGGACACGCGTCATTGCTGAATGTGAAGCTGACTCGCCTATAACCAAAATCATGGCCTTAAACTAACACCGGCCAAATTGCCCCACACCCCCGGCCAAATCAGGGGGCTGTCATCCCGAGCTTTCCTATGTGCCGGGCGCCCGACTCTTTAACATTAGCCGTGACGTCACGGGAGCGTACACTTCTCAGCTGGCCTTCGCCGCAAGTTTGGCCTTGCATATGATTTTGAGGGTCACGGTTGTAAACAAGTTCCTTTCCGGAAACGTTCCGGAAACGCTAGAAACGTTGTCATGCTTTTATTTTCCGGAAAATGCTTCATTACTAATTCGCGCCTAAAATCACTTTAACCCTCGCCGGCACAGGGGGAACCCCCCTAAGGTTTTTCGCGAATGACTCGCGTAAAATGCGGCCGATCACGACGAAACTTTCAGTATCCTCGCATTGATCAATTTGACACCTACCCTGAAAATTTCATGACCCTGACCCAAATGACCTTTGACCTGTGACCTCTTTTCCGAGACCATGTTTGGCCGGAATCACGATTCGGCGTATGTTGGCTCGCATTAGCCGCGCGTTTGCAAGCTTTTCGTGGTTTCAATCGTCCAAACATGTGATTTGATGTTGCTCCCATGCATTAGGGTGGGTGTCAAGGTCACCTGAAGGTCAGGTCAGGTCATTGACCTTTGGTGACCTCGGTTCACTTTTTCGAGTTTTACATGTTTCTAGGCTAGTTTTTGGAGCTGAATTCGAATTTAGCAATCATTTGAACATTAACGAAGTAGTTTCGGTGCCTTCGTAACATGCTACGAAGCTGTCAGAGACGGATGACAGGTACTACGAATACCCGTCACGACCCCTACCGGTTGACCTCTGATCTGACCCGACCTGGTCTGAACGCTTAACGACATCATCTGTGATCAAAACTAACACGATATTCGT